AAAAGGAAAAAAAAAACAAAACGAAAAAAAAACCACCAAAAAAAAACAACCCCAAGGACCCTTTCACTCCGTGCCCGTCAGGCAGTATCCGAACGAGTGTTTGTCGTGAGCTGTAGAATTTATCAACTGCTAACACTACCCTCGTGTGCTGGTGGACAGCCGAACGTCCGGGCAGCGGCTCCCGCTGGCCCCGCCCCGCGGCGATTGTCGCGATTGTCGCGATTGTCCCGCCAGCCCCCCCCGCTGCCCCCGGACGGTGGCTTTGCTTTCCTGTCTCAGACGTACACATGCATATCCAGTCCTGTTTTAGGTGTTCTTATAAGAAATCCAGTTTTTAATGTGCCAAGTTGTATATATCTGCTGCGTGGATGTAAAGCAATACCGTAGTTACATGTTCCTTTTTATGGACCAAGCTCGTCCTAATGTACATTCTTGTTATTATTATAATTATTTTACTCTTAGTGGAACATGACTCATTCCATTAACTTTTATGTGTTGATTTAAAAAGAGAAAACAAAACAAAACAAAAAAAAACCACAAAAAAAAAAAGAAAGGAAAAAAACCCTTTGAGAAAAAAAAATATTTTATTAAAAAAAAAAAAAGAAATAAGAAAATAGTTTGGAATATTTTCTTACTGTAGAGAAGCACTGTACAGTACCAGGAACCCTGAGTATAAAATACTCGTGCGTGTAGTAGGAATATCGCATGTCCAAACCCTCGAGTTGTCTCATTTAGTTTCAAACAGAAATCATTGTCTCAAATGGTGTTAAACACTAAAAAGTTTTTAAAAAAAAAAAAAATAAAGTGCGTACAGAAGCGAGACACTAGCTCTGTCATTTTATCTTTCTTTTGTTGAAAGACTAAACAAAATGTTTTTTAGACAATCAAATGTTAGGTAAGTGCAAAGAATTGTTTTTTCTTACTGGTGTAGAAATTAATGACTTTTTTTATTTTTTGGTTATTTTATAATACTGAGCAGACCCGTGTGTCCCCAGGATCGCCGCCGGAGCCAGGAAGCACTACGTTACTGCAAATAGAGCTGAACCTTAGTCTGCATGGGTGTAGGCTGTGTGATTGCTGAAAATAAATGCTGCTAATATATTTCCTTTTTACAAAGCATATCTAAATAGATCATTGTTTTGATGTTAATCTTTGTAAATTATGTATTACCAATTTTAACATTGGATGTAATTGCATAAAAAGCCTGCATCTCAATCCTGAGAGTCTAGTATTAAATGGAAAATCTTTTCCTAAGGTTGGCTCGGGGGGTTTTCTTTGCTGAGCTGGGTGGGAGGGTGGATGGACAGGAGGACAGGAGGAGGTGGATGGACAGGATCCACCTGGGCAGGCTGGATCCATGGGATCCATGGGATCCATGGAGTGAGGCTCAGCAGGTGCTGGGTGCTGCCCTTGGGTCACTGCAACCCCCACAGAACGTTCCAGGCTTGGGGAAAAGTGTCTGGAAAGGCCCTGGGGTGCTGGGGACAGCAGCTGGACACGGGCCCAGGTGTGCCCAGGTGTGCCCAGGTGGGCAAGAGGCCAATGGCACCTGGCCTGGACCAGGACAGTGACCCCAGCCCCTTCTGCTGCCTCTGCTGAGAGACCTCAAACCCTGGCTCAGCTTTGGGCCCTTTGTGACAAGAAAGAGATTGAGGGGCTGGAGCATGTCCAGAGCTGGGAAAGGGGCTGCAGAATCCCTGAGGGAGCTGGAAAAGGGTTAGAGAATCCCTGAGGGAGCTGGGAAGGGAATGGAGAATCCCTGAGGGAGCTGGGCAGGGGCTGCAGAATCCCTGAGGGAGCTGGGCAGGGGCTGAGCCTGGAGCAAAGGAGGCTCAGGGGCCCTTGTGGCTCTGCACAGCTCCTGCCAGGAGGGCACAGCCCCAGGTCAGGCTCTGCTCCAGGGCACAGGGACAGGAGCAGAGGGAACGGCCTCAGGCTGGGCCAGGGCAGCTCAGGGTGGGCACTGCAGGAATTTCCCCATGGAAAGGGGGCTCAGGGATTGGAACTAACTGCCCAGGGAGGGTTGGAGTGCCCATCCCTGGAGGTGTCCAAGGAACACCTGGAGGTGACACTGAGTGCTCTGGGCTGGGGACAAGGTGGGGATTGGGCTGTCCCAGCTCCTGAACACACCCTGGGATCACACACTGAGGATGGGAACATGGGATCAACCACTGGGATGGGAACATGGGATCAACCACTGGGATGGGAACATGGGAACACACACTGGGGATGGGAACATGGGATCAACCACTGGGATGGGAACATGGGAAAACCCCCTGGGATGGGAACCAACCCAGGAACACCCCCTGGGATTGAGCCCCCAGCTGCTGGACATCTCAGAGGGTTCCGTGTGACCCCAGTGGCTCTGCAGGAGGGGTGGGGGCAGCGCAGTCACTGTGAGGGGTCACAGGGGCTGTGACCACGGCTGCCTGGGAGGCAAACCGGGGCAGGAGCCATTGAATCCACAGATTTGGTGCCTATTCCCAGGGGATAAACCCAAGGACCCCCCTTGTCCTGCTCAGGTTGGGGACTGTCAGCCACTGGGGCAGGGCACTCACCTGCTCAGGTGAGTGCAGGGATCTCTCACCTGCAGGCTCCCTCAGGAATGGAACAGCTTTTCCTCAACACCCCCTGTGTGGAACCTGATTTTTCTTTTTCCCTTTCCCAGTCTGGCTCTCTGCGATCATGAAAATGCCATGCTTGACCTCTGTGCCCCTTTTAAAGCCAAGGCCCCAGGCCAAGGCTCGGAGGGCTGTTTATTTAAAAAGAAAATAAATAAATGGAAGTACCACCTGGCTTCCTCCCCTCCTGGCATGACCTCGTTCAAAAAGTCCAGAAGCAGCTGTGGAAATCAATCAAGCCTCCTTAAGGCGAGCCAAGGAACATTCCAATTAGGATATAACGTCACTCGTCTGAGAATAAAAATCCCAGCGAGAGAAGTGGAAATGAGAGCAGAGAGAAAGGAGAGCAGCTTCACCCGGGGCTCACACAGCGGCTCTCGGCCACCGAAAGGGGAAGTCGGGAGGGTGAAACGTGGCCATGGGAGGGAGCAGAGGCCCAAAACCATCCCTGGGGCCAGGCTGCTGCTGCCGTGTGGCCGCTCCCCGGCATGGCCACACCTTCCTTTCACCGGGAGCCCAGCAGGAAATGCAAATTCTGGCACGAAATCACAAGCAATGACACAGACACGGAGAACTTGGAGCCGTTTAGCCCCTGCTGCCATCCTCTGGCTATGAAAAGATCACTTGAAGTTTTATAAATAACCCAAGCAGTGACCTGGGCTGTTCCCAGTTGCTGCGCGGCTCCCACGGCCGCTCCCCAGCAGCTTTTCCAGGGATATTCCAGGCTCTGGGAGGCTGCAGCCGCCTCTCCCACGCTGTGGAGGAGCCTGGGCATCTTGTGGGCACCTTCTGCTGGGCTGTGAGGCCTCCCTGCTCTCCCAGGCTGGCAGCCGGGATGCTGAGAACCCACACAGCCCCAGCATCTCCGGGCTGGAGCATCCCCTCATCCCACCCAGCCCGGCCCCTCGGCAGTGCCAGCCCCAGCGCCCATTGCCACACGTGGACACGTGAGTCACATCCTTTATTTCCAGCTTTTTCCCGGCGGAACGAGCTCATTCCAGTGGTTACGATTATTTACAGAGTGCTGGGGGGGCCGGCCCGGGCCCCGGCGGGGCTCGTGGAGGTGGCAGCGGTGGCAGGACAGACAGACGGCACGGAGGCGACGCGGGGCAGGGACAGGAGCCGCCCCTGCCCTGGCACGGGGCGGGGCAGCAGCTGAGGGACCCCCGAGCTGCCGCAGAGGAGCCGGGGGGACGCGGTGGCAGACGGTGACCTCATGCAGCAGTGACAGGCACAGGGCAGGGTCCCCTGGGAGCCGCCAGCCCCGGAGGCGGTGAAGCTCTGGAGGTGACAGGAGACATCCCCACCCAGAGCTGGCACCGCTCCGGAGAGCTCAGCTGCTCCCTCAGGTCCCTTCCTCCTCCTCCTCCTCCTCCTCACAAAATCAGGGATGTGTAACCGACAGGAACGAGGCCGGTGCTGTTGCCATGGCAGCAGCGGATCCAGTCTTCATCCACGGTGGAGAGAAGCTCCAGGATGTCCCCTTTTTGGAAGCTCAGGTGCCCGTCGGCCGTGCCCGTGTGGTCACACAGTGCCCGGACTGCCCTGCACCACACATGTCACCCTTGTGCCACAAATGTCACCCCTGTGCCACCAATGTCACCCCTGCACCACACATGTCACCCCTGCACCACACATGTCACCCTTGTGCCACAAATGTCACCCCCTGCACCACACGTCACCCCCTGCACCACCAATGTCACCCCTGTGCCACCAATGTCACTTCAGACTCCCCGGGGACCCCGAGGACCCTCAGAGGCTCCCTCAGCCCTTGTGAGGTGGGAACTGGGGGGAATCAGGGATTTTCTCAGGCAGAGGTGGCCCCTGAGGAGGGGTCTGTACCTGGCAGAGCTGTCCTGCCAAGCAGCCCCTGGGAGGGCGAGCAGAGCAGGAGGTGTGGGGACATCAGAGATGGCACAGAGGGTGTGGGGACATCAGAGATGGCGCAGAGGGTGTGGGGATATCGGGGTCAGTGAGGATGGGGAAGAGGGAAGCAGCCAAACACCATTTGGGATGGCCACACACCCACCCTGCCCGCTGGGACAGAGCTGTTCCAACAGCCAGGTCACAGCTGCCACGTGCCTGCCCCACACAAGCTGCCACGAATCCACGAAGCACACAAGAAAATGCAAAAAAACTGTCCCCAAAACGTCTGGGAAAAACAGCTGACCCCAGGTGGGCAGAGGCTCAGGTTCCCCCACAGCCCAGCAGGAGAAGGGGATCCTTGGGGGTGCAGTCATGGCTTTCCCTTTAGGGATGTGTGCGACCCCCGGGCCGTGTCTGAGAGCAGCCCCGGCTTTCCCTCACCCAGAAAAGCCCTCGCAGCCCTGCCCAGCCCCAGCCCAGCCCCAGCCCAGCCCAGCCCAGCCCAGCCCAGCCTCACCTGCGGGCCGGAGGCAGGGCGGGCTCGGTCCTGCCCGGCTGCTGCTCCGGGGCGCGGCTCCTGTCGGGCGCCAGACCCTTCACCACCCCGGCCAGGACACGGCGGCTGGGGGCCAGCCAGCGGGACGGCCTCCTGCCAGAGCAAAGGGAGCCACCAGCTCGCCTGGGAGCCCTTCCTGCTGCTGATCTGCTCAGCTGGGAGCCACCAAGCAGCACTGAGCCTTCCCCAGGAGCTCCTGCTGCTCCGAGGCGATGGCAGCAGCGCTTGGGATGTGCATTAATCCTGAGGGAAACCCTACAAGATCCCCACGAGGCCAGCACAGAAACCCTTCCTCAGCACACCTGAGCACACAGGAACCCCTCAGCACACACAAACCCTTCCCCCTGTGCCTGCCCAAGCTGGGTCTCACCTGGACCTGGCCGAGGCGGTGTCAGGGCTGGAGGGGAAGCTCCTGGACGAGGGGTTGGTGGCTCCAAAGAGCCAGCCCAGCCAGCTGCCCTTGTCAGCACTGGGAGCATCAGCCATCTCTGGGCCACAAGGTGCTGCCTGGCTCCTGGCGGCAGGAGGCTCTGGGGAAGCAGCCAGGAGGTTCTTTCCAGCAGTGGGATCATCCAGCTTGGGGAACACTCTGGTTCCAGTGGGCAAGAAGAGATCTTCAGGGGAAGAGGTCCCTGAGGTGTCAGTGCTGCTGCTGGGCTTTGGGCCAGAGCGTTCAGGGCCAGCTTTGGTCTGGAGGAGCTGCAGCTCTGTGCCTCTGGGCTCACTCAGGGAAGTTTGGGATTGCCCAGCCTGGCCCGGGCTGGGCTCCCCCGCCCGCAGCTTCGTCCACCAGACCGAGGGGGACTTTTCCTTGCTGGGAGCAGTGTAAATCCTGGAGCTCTGGCTCAGCTGGCCCCACCAGCCACTGAGGCCAGCCCCAGGCCCCCCAGCGCCCTCCTGAGCCCCGTGGCTCTCCGGGGGGGTGTCAGAGCCCAGCAAGGTGCGGCTGAGCTGGTCGCCCCAGCGCAGCACCTGCTGCAGGGTTTGCTGCAGGGCAGCTCCCACTGGGGGAGCAGGGACCAACCCACCCATGGTCGCTTGGGACCGGCCCCCTGTGCCCCCCACCCTGCCCAGAGCATCGGGGGGGGTCTCATCCTCCAGGCTGTCCCCAGCAGCACCGCTCTGGCCCCCCAGAGACCCCCGCACGGGGACGGGGGACAGCGGGGACTGCAGCCGGCGGGACAAGGGCCGGACGTCCACGGAGAGGTGGTGGTGCTCAAAGAGCAAGTCCAGGTGGAAAGTCAGCACCGACAGGGGCTGGATGAGCAGCAGGAGCTCGTCAGCAAGGTGGGGAAGAGGGCCTTGGCTCAGGGCAAAGAAGGCCGTGGGTGAGTAAAGCACGGAGATCACACCTGTGGGGACAGGGACAGGTGAGGGAGGGGCAGGATGCCCCCTGTGCTTGTCACATCCCCAGCAAGGGCCAGCCAGGCTGTCCAGGTCAGCCAGAGCACCCTCTGTGCTGAAGATGCACCATGGAAACGATCCACCATGGAAAGTGGATGTATCCCAAGCCCAGAGTGGGATTTTCAGCCTGGCAGGTTGAGAGGGCTTGGGGAGGGAGCTCCTGGGCACCGTGTCCTTACCTGGGCTCTTCTGCAGGTGAGATATCCACAACTCCAGCTGTTTAATGCTAAACAAGACAAAGAGAACCCAAATTAGAGCCCCTGGGACAGCTCCAAGCTGCTGTGGCAGTGAGGCTGGCGGGGCCATCACCACTCACTTCAGAAGGCCGAGGATGAAGGCGTGGAACTTCTGCCTGCTGCTGCTGAGTGGGGCCAGCCCGGCCACGTGCCAGCACAGGGAGTGCAGGGAGCGGGTGCTGGGGCCTGTGGGGGGCAGAGCACAGACACTCAGTGCCCAGGGCATGGACAGTGCCCAGAGCATGGACAGTGCCCAGAGCATGGACAGTGCCCAGAGTATGGACGCTCAGTGCTCAGGGCACAGACAGTGCATAGGGCACAGACACTCAGTGCATAGGGCACGGACACTCAGTGCCCAGGGCACAGCAGCACTCCAGGCACCTGGAGATGCCCCCAGCCTCACCCTCACCTGTCTTCACCGAGGCTTCCACCACGCTCCAGGGGGAGTTTTTCCTCTGGCCTGTGATCACATCCTTCTGGAAAGGCTTCAGCCCGTCCTCCACCAAGGCATAGAGCGCAGGGCACAGGGTGTGCAGCAGCAGGTAGCCCACATCGGGGTTGAGCCGGCTGTCCCCCAGCTGGGCCTGAGGGAGGCACGAGCAGAAGGGAGGGAAGGGAAGGGCAGCACCCGCCCCTGATTCTGCTGGGAGGGATGAGGGAATCCCAAAATCCTTCCTGCCCAGCCCAACCCAGCTCTCACCTTCTGCACCAGGTTCCGTGCGGTGCTGAAGTGGGCGATGACCTTGTCCACAGCAGAGCTGACGGCGACCAGCAGCGCTGGGGACGAGGGAGAGGAGGAGAGGAGGAGGAGAGGAGGAGAGGAGGGTCAGCTCAGAGGGACACACCGGGCACCGAGCAGCCCCTGACACCACCGGACCCTGCAGCGCCCACGGTGCTGTGCTGGAACCGGGACCTGCGGTGGCGGCTGCAGCCGCGTTCTCCGGCTGGCGGAGGGCAGGGCCGGGCCCGGTGCAGGCAGCGCTGCCGGTCCCTGCCCGCAGCGTCCCTGCCCCGGCCCAGCGACACCGACCCGGCCCGGGACGAGCCCCTCGCACCCTCCCGACCCCGCGGGTCCCGTTGCCCCCTCCTCCCCTCCCGCCCGGTTCTGTCCCACTCCTCCGGCGAGGATTTGCCCCAACCTTTCGCTTGCTCGCCATGGGGCCCCTCCGCTCTTCCCCCGCCGGGCCGGGCGGCTCCAGCGGCGGCTCCAGCGGCGGCTCCGGCGGCGGCTCCGGCGGGGAGCGGCTCGGGCCTGGCTGGAGAGAGCGGGGCAGCGGGGTCAGGCGGGGCGGCGGCTGGAGCGCTGCCCGGGCCCGGGGGAGGAGCGGGGCCGGCGGCGGGGCCCGGCTCGCTCCGGCTCATGGAGCCGCGGGGCGAAGGGCGGCGGGGCCGGGCCGGGCGGAGGAAGCGCGCTGGGAGCCGCGGGGCGGAGCGGCACCGGGACAGCCCCGGCACGTCCCGGGCCATGCGGGGACACCCCCGGACCGCGCCGTGCCCGGCCCGGAGCGCCCCGGGATCGCTCCCACCGCCCGGGGACCCGCACCGGGCCCCGCATCCCCCAGGCAGGACCCCGGAAGGAGCCAGACTCACTCACCCCCAGATTCACCCCAAACTCACCCCAGACTCACCCCCAAACTCACCCCAGACTCACCCCAGACTCACCCCAAATTCTCCCCAGACTCCCCCCAGACTCCCCCCCAGACTCATCCCAGACTCATCCCCAAACTCACCCCAGACTCCCCCCCAGACTCACCCCCCGTGCCGGTCTCGTCTCCTCTCCGGGCCGCCCGTGGCACCGCGGGGTCCCCGCCGGGCGCCCCGAGCCTCCGGAGCGGGGCAGTGCCCAGCCCCTTTTCCCCTGGGGGCAGCCCCCCCTTCTCCACATCCCTGGGCTGCCCCTCCGCGATGGGCTGCAGGCTCGGCCGGGCTCTCCTTCTCGGCTGGTGGCTGTCGCCGTGTGCCAGCCCCGGTGTCCCCCCCAGGGACGCGGGGGGTCCCCAGCCCGGGGCGGGCCCCGGGGGCACCGGGGGGTGCTGGGCCGGCTCTGCCCGCGGGCCCTTGGGCTGCCTAGCGGCGCTGCGGGACCGCAGCTCCTTGAACGTGGTCACCTCTCTCTGCCTGGGGCCGGGAGGCCTGGCTGGCCCGTCCTGCTGGGGCTGGGGCTGGGGCTGGGGCTGGGGCTGGGGCTGGGGCCGGGCTGGCTCCTGGCCCGCCGTGCCCGAGAGCAGCTCGCTGGTGGGGGGCAGCTCCGTGTCAGGCGAGAACACGATCAGCCAGTCACTGCGGTCAACCCTGGCCTGGGCAGGCGTGGGTCCAGCCGCGTTCCTCTTCCTCCTCTGGGCCAGCTCGTGGAAGGAGGTGATGGTCTTGGTGGCCGTGTCTCTGCAGAGCTCAGCCGGGCCGGCCCTGGGCTCCGGGCCCAGCTGCTGCTCCGCTCTGTGCGCGTTCAGGACCTGCAGCCGCCGCCGGGGCCGAGGGGGCACGGGCGGGGGGACCCCGCCGGGCCGGGGCCGCGGCTCCGCAGCGCTGCTCGGGACACCGGGATCCCTCCGGTCCGGCACGGGCGGCGGCGCTGGGGGCGCGGCATCGGCCTCGGGGAGGGGGTTGCAGTTGGGGTCTAGGTCGGTGCAGATCTCCGGTGCTGCTGTGCTGGGAGAGAGCTCCTCGCACTGAGAATCGAGCGAGTTGTTGCTGCAGAGGCTGTCCGGGCTCTTGCTGGCCACAGAGCTCCTGGTGGCTCTCGGGGGCACCGGGGAGTTGTGGTTGGCATCTCTCCCATGGCACGTCCTGTGCTGGTCAGTCAGAGACTCTCCATCAGCCAGGAGCTCTCTATCAGCCAGAGACTCTGCATCAGCCAGAGATTCTCCATCAGCCAGAGACTCTCCATCAGCCAGGGGCTCTCTATCAGCCAGGGGCTCTCCATGCCAGGCATTTTCTGTGGGAATGACGTTCAGCTGCTTGTCAGGGGACTGGGACCCTGCTCTGGCGAACTCCTTGCAGTACACCGAGACTGGGGAGTCATCCAAGCTGAAATCCGAGCAGCTACTGACAGAGGAGGAGGAGGAGGAGGAGGAAGAAGCCAGATCACAAGGGGGATCACAAGGGGAAGCCGCCTCCTCCTCGTCTCCGCTGTGCAGGCAGGGGAAATCCTCGGGGTTCTGCAGCCCGAGGGTCTCTGGCTCCGGGGCGTGGGACTCACAGCAGCGACATTTCACCGAGGGATTGTTGGAATTGGCATCCACCGGCTCCCGGTTCTCCGGGCACTGGGTGCAGCCTGTCTGCTCCCCCCCGCCCGTGGAGCCATCCTGGAGCTCGGGGTGCCGGGAGAGGTGCAGCCCCAGGGAGATGTGCTGCAGGTGGATGTGGTTGAGGTTGCACAGGAGGCCTTTCTTTGGAGCCAGCATGGTGCTGCCTCGCTGGAAGTGCCCAGGGCTCCCAGGAAAGGCCAGCAGCTCCTCTCTTCTACACCATCCAGCTCCCTGCAAGCACCAAACACCCTCCTGGTCAGGGAAGAACACGGCAGGACCAACCTGGAGAGAGGCACAGCCGGGGGAAGAGGCACAGCAGTGACCTTGCAGCAGGGCCTGGCACAAGGGCTGGGGGTTAGAGAAAGGGATGTGCCCCGAGGGAGGGGCTGCCCCACAGCTTCCTGCCAGGCTTGGGACTCTGCAGCCGGGCAGGGACTGAAGGCAGCCGCTGGTCCCTGGAGCATGGCCTGGGAACGAGCCCAGGAAGCTCGGCTGGCCCGGGGCTGGATTCCCTCCGGAGGGTCGGGAGCATCTCGGGGATGCCGTCAAGGAGAAAACGCCCTTGGAGCCTCGTCAAGGCGGGGCGGGCAGGGGGGGACGCTGTCCTGTCTGGGGGCGGTGGCACCGGGGGGGCTCAGGGACCAGGGCTTGGCCGGAACCGCCGCAGAACCGGCACCGCACCACCGGGCCCGGCTTTACCGGGGGGGAGCCCCAGCCCCGGGCACCTGCTGGAGGCTCCGGGCAGGAAACGGGCAGCAGCGAGCGCGGGAGGGCGGCTCCGAGCATCTGAGCATCTGCCAACCCCGAGCATCCTCCGGCCCTGAGCATCCCCCAGCTCCGAGCATCTTCCGGCCCCGAGCATCCCCCGAGCATCCTCCAACCCTGAGCATCCTCCATCCCCGAGCATCCCCCGAGCATCCTCCATCCCCGAGCATCCCCCGGCCCCGGGGCGAGCACCGGCGGCCCGGCAGCAGGAGCGGCCCTGCTGGGCGCGGCCCTCCCCATCCCCCTGCAGCCCCCGCCCGGCTCCATCCCCTTCCCCGTCCCCCGCTCACCTCGGCGCTGCGGCGGCGAATGCGGCTGCGGGAGGGAGGGAGGAGCCGCGGCCCCGCCGCCGCCGCCCGCCGGGAGCCGCCCGGTCCCGCCCCGCCGCCAGCGGGGGCGGCGCTCCGGGCATCCCCGCACCCCGGAAAGCACCGGAGGGGTAGCGGCACATCCCGGCATCCCCCTCCCCGCCATCCAGCCCTGTCCCCGCACAACAGCAGCCACGCACCTACAATAATTTATATTTATTGTTCAGATGGCTGAACGCCCCCGGCCATCCCCGCGCACCCTCTCGAACCCGCCCCCGGCCCCGCCCAGGGCAGGGAGCAGCTCCAGCCCCCTGCCAGGCCCCTCCATCACTTCTGCCGCTTGTAAATCTTCTGTGCCAGGTCCAGGAAGATGTCCCTGGGCAGGCGCCGGGCGTGGCTCCCGATCAGCGCCTGCAGCCGCCCGTAGCTGCTCTCCTCGTACTCCCGGAACGCCGCCTGCAAGCCCAGGGCATCGTAGAGCTCCTTCACCTTCGCCACCTTCTGGGGCTCCTTAGAGCCGTAGTTCTCCTGAAAAAACCCTGGAGTGAGTCAGGGCTATGCCAGCCCATGGGGCAGCAGCTTTGTTCTCTCTTTGTTACTGTGATATTTGATGAAAAATCTATTTGCTAGGATTTTTTCTCTTGGGAAGATGAGAAGCTTCAGAGGAAAAGAAAAACAATATTATCTGATGGCTTCACCTTGTGTTTTGCTGCTTTGGGATGTGGCAGGTGCATTTTTGATTGGTTCCATGTGAATTGTCTTTACTCAATGACCAATCCCAGCCCAGCTGTGTCAGACTCTCTGTCACAGGTTTTTATTACTCATTCTTTTTTTAGCCTTCTGACGTATTCCTTTTTTTATTGTTTAGTGTATAATTCCTTCTAACATAATATCATATCATAACATAACAAACCAGCCTTCTAAGAATTATGGAGTCAGATTCACCTCTTCCCTCCTCCCAGGACCCTCACACACAACACCCCAACACTCTCTTCTTTCTTCTCACCCTCCTCCTCCCAGCCAGGTGACAGCCCCTGGCACTCAGGTGCCCATGCAGGCACTGCAGCCCCTCTGCCAGGTGTGTGATGCCAGCCTTACCTCCAGAATCTGCCTCTGCTGTGGCGTGGCCCTCTGCAGACACTGCACCACCAGCCAGCTGCACTTGTTGTCCTGGATGTCGGTGCCAACCTTCCCTGTCAGGGCTGGGTCCCCGTAGCAGTCCAGGAAATCGTCCTGTGGGACAATGGCAGGGCCTGAGTGCCACAGCCAGCAGCTGGCAAGGACCCAGGGGTGCAGGGACACCTCCTACCTGGATCTGGAAGAACTCCCCCATCTCCAGCAGGATGGCTTTGGCATCCTCGTGCTCCTCCTTACCATCAATGCCTGCCTGGGGGAAGGAATAACAGGGATAAAAAAGCCTTCCAGGGCCTGGGGATAAGGTAAAACCTTCCAGGACTTGGGGATAAGGTAAAACCTTCCAGGACTTGGGCATTAAGCCCTCCAGGATCTGGGGATCAAACCTTCCAGGACCTGGGGCTAAAGCAAAGCTTTCCAGGGCCTGGGGCTAAAGCAAAGCTTTCCAGGACCTGGGCATAAAGTAAAGCCTTCCAGGGCCTGGGGATCAAGCAAAGACTTCCAGCACCAGGGGCTAAACCTTCCAGGACCTGGGGATTGAGCCTGCCAGGACCTGCCCTGCTGGCCAGCCTGGCAGGAGGGTGAGGCCCCAGCACACTCACCATGTACATGGCTGCAGCCACGGGCAGGTAGAAGGAGTAAAACGCTGTCTTGTACTTCACAATGGCCTTGTACCTGTGCCAGAGGAACCAGGCTGAGCCCCAGGGCCCCCCTCTGCAGGGCAGGGACTGCAGGGCACCCCAAAACCCAGCCCCAGGCACCCCAAAACCCAGCCCCAGGCTCCCCAAAACCCAGCCCCAGGCTCCCCAAAACCCTGCCCCGGGCTCCCCAAAACCCAGCCCCGGGCTCCCCAAAACCCAGCCCCGGGCTGAGCAGGCCAGGGAGGGGATCTGGCTCTGCCCCCCTGTACCTCTGCTCGCTGAACCTGCTCAGGTCCACCTGGGAAACTGGAGCAGTGATGAGGTCCAGAGCCTGCCCCAGCTCGGTCTGGTAGCCTGTCTGGAGAGGAAAGAAAGGATTTGTGGCCTCATTGCAGCTTTCCAGTGTTTAAAGGGGTTGTAAAAAACAGGGAGGAGGATGTTCTGCATGGGGAGAACGAGATACAGGGTGATGGTTGTGACACATCAGTGATATTGGTACTGGGAGGAATTCCTGGCTCTGAGGGTGGGCAGGCCCTGGCACAGGTGCCCAGAGAAGCTGGGGCTGCCCCTGGATCCCTGGCAGTGCCCAAGGCCAGGCTGGACTGGGCTTGGAGCAGCCTGGGACAGGGGAAGGTGTCCCCATGGCAGGGGGGTGGAACTTGGTGATCTTTAAGGTCCCATCCAACCCAAACCAGTCTGGGGTTCCATGATTTATTCCCACAGCCCTCCAGGACAGTCCCAACCCCACAGTGCAGAGCCCAAGCCCCGTTTCAGCTCCTCGTTGGGTCTAAAGGCAGGACCTGTCTGTCACAGCCATGTTTTATGAAAAATCCTTTTGTTAAGATCTTTTCTCCTGAGAAGCTTCAGCTTCCCCATGTTTTGCTGCTTTGGAATGTGATTTAGAGAATTGTTTACCCAGCATGTGAAATTGTTTTTACTTGATGACCAATGACAGCCACCTGTGTCAAGGCTGTGAACAGTCACAGGATTTTATTATCATTCCTTTCTAGTCCTTGCTGAAATCCTTTTTTCTATTCTTTTAGTACAGTTTTAATGTATAAATTTTCTCTTAATATAATATATATTTATTTTTATATAATTTATATATAATTATATAATTATACTTATTATATTATATATTATATTATATTATTAACATAATATTTATGTTTATATTATATAAATATATAATTTATTTATATATATATAAAATAATAAGTCAGCCTTCTGAAACATGGAGTCAAGATTCTCATCCTGGGACCCTCAAACAGCACCACACACAATCCAGCAGGACACCCAGGAATTTCAGGAACACATCAGAAAATGGGCCCAGACCCCAAGAAATCCCCAAGGAAGGGTTTGGGGAGCCAGGCTCACCTGCAGGAAGAGCTCCAGCAGGTGCAGGTAGAAGGGCTGCTGCCCACAGTACTTCCTCAGCAGCCTGTACACCGAGGACTCCAGCAGAAAAGCATCATTGATGGCATCCAGCCCGATCCCCTCCTGCAGCAGAGAGGCAGGGAGGTGTCCCAGAGGCTCATGGCCCCCAGGACAGGCAGGGAGGTGTCCCAAAGGCTCATGGCCCCCAGGACAGGCAGGGAGGTGTCCCAGAGGCTCATGGCCCCCAGGACAGGCAGGGAGGTGTCCCAGAGGCTCCTGGCCCCCAGGACAGGCAGGGAGGTGTCCCAGAGGCTCCTGGCCCCCAGGACAGGCAGGGAGGTGTCCCAAAGGTTCCTGGCCCCCAGGACAGGCAGGGAGGTGTCCCAGAGGCTCCTGAGCCCCAGGACAGGCAGGGAGGTGTCCCAGAGGCTCCTGGCCCCCAGGGGACACCCCCAGCCCTGAGCAGGGCTCTCCTGAACGCTCTCACCTTCTTGTACCAGCAGAGCTGCCCCCGGCGGGTCAGGGACGAGTCCATGATGTCGTCGGCCACCAGGAAAAAGGCTTGGAACTGCCAGAGGCGGGGTCAGGGATGGGGGAACCCCGGGGGTCCCATCCCCATTGGGGTCCCATCCCCTGGAGGGGTTCCATCTCCATGGGGTCCCCATCTCCATTGGGGTCCCATCCCCGGAGGGGGTCCCATATCCAGGAGGGTCCATGCCCAGAGGGTTCCATCCCCCGGGGGTCCCATCCCCGGGGGGTCTCCCATCCCCATTGGGGTCCCATCTCCCAAGGTGTTCCCATCCCTCGGAGGGGGGGGGGGGGTCCCATCCCCTGGGGGGCCCATCCCCATTGGGGTCTCCCCATCCCCAGGGGCGTTTCATCCCTGGGGGGGGGGTCTCGTCCCCAGGGGGGGTCCCATGCCCGGCTGGTT